TGGCTCCGAAATTACCCCAAATTTTTATTACATTGTCTGATACATATTGATGTCCTTATACTGTGTAGAAAGTTTGAGCTGATTCCGACTTCAATTTTTCAAGTTATGGCCATTTTAAAAAATGGCCGATTTTCAAAAAATACCCAAGGCTATAGCCCATGCTTTTTTCCAAAAAATGGCTCCAAAAATCACCCCAAATTTTTATTACATTTTCTGATACATATTGATGTCCTTATACTGTGTAGAAAGTTTGAGCTGATTCCGACTTCAATTTTTCAAGTTATGGCCATTTTAAAAAATGGCCGATTTTCGAAAAAATACCCAAGGCTATTATAGCCCATGGTTTTTTCCAAAAAATGGCTGCAAAATCACCCCAAATTTTTATTGCATTTTTTGATACCTATTGATGTCCTTATGTTGTGTAGAAAGTTTGAGCTGATTCCGACTTCAATTTTTCAAGTTATGGCCATTTTAAAAAATGGCCGATTTTTGAAAAAATACCCAAGGCTATTATAGCCCATGGTTTTTTCCAAAAAATGGCTGCAAAATCACCCCAAATTTTTATTGCATTTTTTGATACCTATTGATGTCCTTATGTTGTGTAGAAAGTTTGAGCTGATTCCGACTTCAATTTTTCAAGTTATGGCCATTTTAAAAATACCCTGTGCTATAATAGCTGATGAAGAATGGCCCAAAAACACTCCCACTTTTAATCACCTTATCTTTCTCTAGAAAAGAGAGTTCACTGCTCGTAAGATGCCTGAACCAGCTCCTCCTCCTACGATTGTTAAAACTCATCAGAAGACACTACCAGAACCATTTGCCCTCAAGACAGACGAACTAGGAGAAAAGAAACTAGCAAAATTCCATGAAAAGGTACACTACAATAGTATCTTACATAATTATTACATTGTGGGAATTTATATGTATTACACTCACTTTGCAATTGTATAATAACATTTTAAAGCTTTGCAGTAATTTATCGGTTTTGTGTTACTATTAATTCAAGAAATTTTGATGATTTTCAATCCAATATCCCATGCATGTAGCAAAACTAGTGCAATACACATCAGCCATTCACCAAGCACAGGAAAAATGACACTGCCATAATTATAATACTTGCAATGTATTATTGAGTATAAATTCTTTTTTGCATTGATTGTGTGTAGGTGGCTGAGTTAGAGAAGGAGCGAGAAGAGACGTCGAAATTCAAAGCGTCGGATCCTTCATCGTTATACACGCGTCCTTTCATACCAGCTAAATCAACAAAACCACTGACTGAGACTAGCAACACTTTCACACTACAAACTGAACTGAGATCAGAACTTCGCTCACAATACGAGTTTGAGAAGAAATTAAGAGAAGAAGAGAGACAGAGAACAGAAGAAGAGAGAAAAGCTATAAGAGAAGCTGAAGAGGCAGAAGAGATAAAAGCTCTACGACGTTCTTTAGTTCACAAAGCACAACCAATCCATCATTATACTCCTTTAAGTATTGTCCCTAGTACTAAGAAGCTAACAGAACCTTCTTCTCCTGTATTGGTATCGAAACAAAGGAAGGAGAATGAGAATCATGACTTATAGCTTAATGATTGTATGTACATGTAGTTGTAGCTTTAATATTTTAATTACTAAAAGCACACGAACCATATTAAAGTTCAAGATTTATTTTGAAAAATAACTTTAAATTTCACTGCATTAAAATTTTAGCATTATAATGTTAAAATAATTATAATAATAGTATTACAGTTGATGTATAATTCTTACATTTTAAAGTTAAGCTTTGAGATTGCCACATCCTGCTGCAGAACCAGCCCCACCCACCAGCATGCAAACATAATGGAGTCCCAAAGTCCTTCTCTTCCTATCTCTTTCTTCACCCTCTTCTCTCTCTCCTGGTTAGGCCGCCTACTCCTCATACTCTACGGCACGTGGCACGACTCCACACAAGAGCTACAATACACTGATATAGACTATTGGGTCTTTTCAGACGCGTCTCTACACGTTAAAGAAGGCGGCTCTCCTTATGACAGAGATACCTACAGGTACACGCCATTACTATCTTGGTTACTACTACCTAATCATAGCTTATCCATACACTATGGGAAAGTGTTATTTATAACATTAGACGTGTTAGTAGCTTGGTGTATTGAGAGGGTTCTTGCTATGGAAGGAGTGAGTGATAGAAAGAGGTTCTTTTCCTGTTTGGTTTGGTTGATTGATCCTGTGACAGCTGTCGTTTCAAGTCGTGGTAATGCCGAGTCTTTGCTAGCACTGATAATGTTATCAAGTCTCTATATGTTTGTAAAAGGAAGGGTTTTGTTTTCAGGGGTCCTGTACGGTCTCGCCGTTCACTTTAAATTTTACCCCATCATTCATTGCCTTGTCTTTTATCTGGCTGTTGATCGGACCCCTTGGAGTAGGGCCCGGGACATATCCAAAGTTTCAAATGTTTATAGGACCCCTGGGGAAAAATCTCATAAAAGAGGAAAACGTTTTAAAATCAACTCGTCTTTTAGTGAAAAGGACCTGAGACGAAATAAAATTTCAAATGTGGCCAAGACCTCTAACTCGAGTCAAGTTTCAAGCAATGACAAGACCTCTTGGTTGGGGGCCTGGAACATTAACAAATTTACAATACACTGGGGGTCGCTACTAAGTGTAAAAAGGATCCAATTTATTTTTGCAAGCTCAGGAACGTTTTTAATTTTAGGATTATTATTTTACAAATTGTATGGCTGGGATTTCATTGAAGAGACATACCTATATCACGTAAAAAGGACAGACATTAAACACAACTTCTCTCTTTATTTCTATATGTTGTTCGTGACTCAAGGAACATGGCTTGCTTCTTTGTTGAGTAAAATAGCTTTCATTCCTCAAGTCATTCTCCTCCTTATCTCCTCCTTGTGGAATCATAAAGATGTATCGTTCTGTCTGTTTGTACAAACATTTGTGTTTGTTACTTTTAATAAAGTGGTAACGTCACAGGTAGGGTCGTATTTCTTACTATCTTTCTCTCTCCTTTAGCTTCTCTATAATTTTTAAATTTTAATTTCTCAATTTTTTCTTAACTTTATTAATATTTCTTCTCCCCTTTACCTCTCTTTCTCATTCTTCCCTTGCAGTATTTCCTTTGGTATTTGTGTTACCTTCCATTAATAACTCCTCATTCAACATTAACACTAACTGAAGGAGCAATAATGACAGTACTATGGCTATTGGCACAGGTATATGTATATTATAACCTCATTTTAGTAATTATTTTGATGTTTTGTTTCAAAAATTACATTACAATGACGTTAGTTTGATCAAATGTCAAAACAACTTTTAAATTTCTACTATTGATTTATTAGTATTAAAGCTGCCTAAAGTTGTTACAATAATGTAATATTCTTTTCCTTTCTGTAGGGATCTTGGCTGTTTCCAGCATACCTACTTGAATACAAAGGGTATGACACATACCTGTTCATTTGGCTAGGAAGCTGTATATTCTTTTCTATTAATGTTTGGATACTATTGAGAATAATAAGAGCCCATAGGTCACCAGCACTGAGGAAGTATGAGAAATAAGGAATCATTGTAATTGTTATTTCAACTGCAACAATTCTATTTTTATATTCAAAAAACAATTTAAAGAAGATTGATAGTCTAACCTGTTAACTAAACGCTTACGCTGTAAAATAAATGATTTTACATGTGCCTTATTGGCATTTTGTGGTAAACATCAGTCGCGTAAAAAAAGATTATTCATTCTACATGTAAAATAAACACAACTTTAAAAAAACTTGCCTCCTACAGTGGTGTCACGTACTCTGTGATTATAAAAGGAGGCTCAATTATTACTTTTTATCTAAGTTCTAGCCAGGCTGTATTTTTTACTCTGAGGAAGGTCTTCATAATGTTTACTGGTCACTTTTTCCTTTTACTGTGTGGCATAATTGCAACAATTGCTTCATTAAGCACTGTCAATGGAAGCTGCCTTGAACTTCCCTTTCCTCTCATCACTATCACAAACCAAGGTAAATTGATAGACCCATCTATTTTGTTGTATGACTGTTTTGGTATTTAATAATAGTTTTAACTCTTTTTTACAATTTTTAATTATTTTCTTAAAAAGTGTGCACAATACCAACTGATTGCAAAGGATGGCAAAACATAGGAATTAATCAAAATGGAGTGTATTACATACAACCAGACAGTGGAGCAGCTTTTCAAGTAATTTCATTTTATTTTATTTTATTTCATTATTATTACTATCTAGGTATACTGTGATATGGAGACTGATGGTGGTGGATGGACTGTATTTCAGAGGAGACAAGATGGATCTGTTAATTTTAATAGACTGTGGGCTGATTATGAGAATGGATTCGGGGATCTTACTGGAGAATTTTGGTTAGGGTTGAGCAAGATTCGTCGTCTCATACAAAAAGAATCAAAGTCTTTGCGCATAGAAGTTGGTGATTTTGATGGTATTTCAAGCTATGCCCAGTACTCTTTATTCAATATTGGTGATGCTAGTACTGAATACAGGTTGAATGTGAGTGGATATAGTGGACCTGCTGGAGATAGTTTGTCTTTCCAAAGTGGAAGTAGTTTCAGTACTAGAGATAATGTGAATGATGATAAGAATTGTCCAAATACATGGGGTGGGGGCTGGTGGTTTAATCGTGGCCATAAACATTACTGTTTTTATTCTCATCTCAATGGTTATTATAAACATCAACCAAATACAGTCCCAGCTTGGCATGGAGTTATGTGGAACACTTATAAAAATGGCTTTTCTCTTAAGAATGCAGAAATGAAAATCTGCTGAATACCTTTTTGTGTATTAATTGTAAGCTTATTTACATGGCTGCTAAATTATTTGCTATTCCTTTATCCTTTTTTTGCTGAATTTTTTTTAACTTATAAAAATGGAGAATTTTCAAACTTTAAAAATTTTAATTTTATTGGAATCAGCTCAAACTTGAAAGATTATGTATAATATTATGTATTGTTAAATCTAGATGATTAGTGACAAAGTGGTTGTCAGTTACCTACTGACTGTAAAGAAATGTAAAAAGCTTTTATATATGAAGCCAGATAATGGAATGACATTTTAAGTATTAGTGTACATGTATTATTCTATATTGGTACATGAAAGCATGTAGGTATACTGTAATATGGAGACTGATTGTGATGAATGGATTGTATTTCAGAGGAGACAAGATACACCTATGAGAATGGACTCCATGATCTTATAGAAGAATTTTGGGTAGGATTGAGCAAAATGGTTCTGCCATCTTGGTCATGATGAATGTAATTCATAAGCATCAGCCAAACACCTCTCCTAATTGGCAAGGGATTATCTCAGCTAGAATAGTTTAGTCTTGAAATAGACTAACAACCTCATGTATGTTTACACATTCATGAATGTGCAGACTATAATTTGTAATTGCCAGTAGTGTTTCATTTCTCTCTTGACATTTTTATGAATGAATGTTTTTGTATATTGAAAGTATAGCTAAATCTACTCTATACTTTGAACACTAAGACATAAGTCAAAATGCAAACATAGTCATAGTAAAAGAAAAACTCAAGTATTTAGCAATACAAGGAAAATTTATCATTTTTATAGTCCCTCATCGTTAGATCATGGATCATCAGTAGGACAACAGCACTGATTTTTAAGAGCCTCAGCGTCACTATTAAGCCAGTCCCAGATAGCGATGGGAGATCCACCGACACCAAACAAAAAAGCTTTGCCTACAAGTGATATCCCACCAGCTGCAAAAGACTGTATTGTTGCAAATAATCCACCTGCTGTGGGTGCAAGGTAACTCATCCAAGAGGCAGCATAAGAACCAGCAGCAATCCCAGCAGTAGTAAATCCTGCCCAAGACAGTACATGTGAAGTTGCCACTACAACTACTACTCCACTAATGGTCACCTTTAAAACAGAATAACCTTTTGACAGGATCCTCTCAAAAGTGCTGCTGCTATTAAATTTTATGCAACCTTTAGGACATTCTTCTTTAACTTCACATTTCCATTTGCCATGATTAGCTGTATCTTTATTGTCAGATTTGTCACCATAGACAGCTTGAACTGAGACAAGTAGATAGAGCAAGAACAAAGCTTTGCTTTCCTTTGATAGTAGCATGATGAGGGAGATGAACATTAAACAATTGCTGAGCAATGAATTCTTAAACTAGTGGGTGTAGTCCTGTAGTAGAACTAATCATGTTATTTACACAAACTGTGAAATGTAAAATCACATAGATATACATAGCAAATATAGTTGTTTTCCCATGACGGCACCCTGCAATGCATTCATATGATGTGGGCTTGTGGCCTTTCAATTGTCAATCTCTGAGACTCTGAAATCACTTACTACACATAGCAATAAGGCACACACCATTCTCTCTCTCCCTTAGAATACAAAGGATATGATACTTACTGATTCATTTGATTAGGAAGCTGTATATTCTTTTTTATTAGCACTGAGAGCCTCAGATAAGGATTCACTCCATTACGATCTAATTCTATCTATTTTGAGTCTTTTCATATTGTTCTTTCAAGTGAAGTAATTCTATTTCATGTTTAAACATACTTTGAAGAAATAATAATTGATTCTATATGCTATAAATTTTTACACATTGGCATGGTATATAATTGGGCAAAGCCCTTCAATACAAGACTCTCATTGACTTTGGTCTTGACCTTCAGCCTTGCATTGATCTTATTGAAAAGGTACATTATTAGACTCTATTATTATTTAATAAATGATGGAAGTGAGTGTGTACATAGATTACCTTGTTTTTGTTATGATATTTGGCTGTCTCTAGTCCACTTACTAAGTGCATGTATCCACTGGCACTGCAGTATAGATCTACTAGCAGTCTGGGCGACATTTGCATATCATACATGTACAATGTACATGTATATTTTTTGATGTATATGGTGCATGTTTTTTTTATAGTCTATGTTTATTTGAGTATATGGTAGGGTAATTTATATGCATTTCAGCTCAAACTTTTTACGCAAAATAAGAACATGTATATATTATCAGAAAAATTGGAGAATTTCAATATTCTGTTTGGCAAAGTTTGGCCAAAGTCCCTGTAATAGTTAGAAAGATGGTTATACTTTTAAGAATCAGAAATAAAAACCCATGCATTAAAACAATAATGATTGACTGATGAAAACAATCTCATGCATCATATTACAGTGTAGGTAGCATAGATTTGTGATGCAAATTGTGTAGATGTTAGTAGCGTGGTTGTTTTAGATTTTGCATTAATTAAATATTTTAAAAATAGTCTAAAATAAATCAGCAAAGAAATAAACGGAAAAAAATTCAAGTAACAAAAACAAGAAAAATAGTTAATAATCATCTACTCCACATGCGTATACAGATCTTTCGAACTAAGCCCATTAAAAAGGACAGTGTTTACAACAACACAGATTCTTATAGTCATCAGACTCATCACTATCAAACCATTTCATGAAAGCAGGAGGAAGTGTACCAGCAGAAAATAACCAAGCTTTAAGTGAAAGTGGTATCCCTGCAGTTGCAAGAGACTGTAGTGTAGCAACTAATCCACCTGCTACTGTAGGTGCAAAGAAACCCATCAAAGAGGCAGCAATCCCACCAGCAGCAATCCCAGCAGTAGTAAATCCTGCCAAAGACAATACATGTGGAGCTGCCACTAAAACTACTGCTCCACCTATGGTCACCTTCAAAATGGAATAACCTGATGACATGTTATCATTGTCATTGTATTTTCTGCAATGGCTAGGGCACATAGTTTGATCTTTGTAGCACTGACCAACTGTGAGTGAAGCTTCATCATAGCTGTTGACAGCTTGAACTGAGACAAGTAGATAGAGCAAGAACAAAGCTTTGCTTCCCTTTGATAATAGCATGATGAGCTCTGGTTGAGGGGAGATGGGCAATTGAGCATGCACAAACAGCCAAACTTGAGTCAGTTGTGTACATTAGGGAGGGGCTATAAATTCTTAGCCTAGTGGGTGGTGTGTTGTCTACACAAACTTATGACAACTGCACAAACAGCAAAAAATTAAATAAAAAAATTAAAATTACATCTATTACATCTACTTCTACATAGAAATAACATCAATTTGTTCAATAATTTGACTCATTGATGGTCGTTCCAAAGGATTATCCTTACAGCACCAAACGATGAGAGAGTATAGGAGAGAGCCCTGTGTATCACTGGTACCAATTGGTCTGCTGCTGATGCTCTGCACCTGATGAAGCATGTCTCGAAATACATACCTGTCTGGAAAATGACAAGTTATTATTTCACAGAGTAAAACACCATAACTGAATACATCCATCTTTGTAGTCTGCTCTTTGTTGGGATCTGTGCTCATGATGTGTTGGGCAAGAGCTTCAGGTGCTGTATAAGGCTCAGCTCCTGGTAGTCTGGTCACTGCTTTATTTGCTGCTTTTGCTGATCCAAAGTCAGATATCTTAGTCTTCCATTTCTTGTCTCCCTTTGATTCCAGTAGTACATTAGCACTGCTGACATCACGATGAATAATAGGATCAGGTAGACAGTGTAGGTAGTTCAGGCCAACAGCTACATCACGCATTATGTAGAGAATCACTGGTCTACAGCCAGGGTCAGGGGTCAGCTCTTTCCTCTCATAAGCTTTACGCAATGAGGTATCCATTACTTCAGTGATAATCATAGGATTACCTGATGGATGGTCTAACACAGCTCCTATAAACTGGAGGAGATTAGGATGACGCAATTGAGACATTGTATTGATCTCACGATGAAGATTCTCCAGATAGAGTGAACTACGTATTGCCTCATGTAATTCCTTAACAGCAACAGAATGCCCTCTGAACTGACCGACCCATACAACACCCCAACCTCCTCTACCAAGCTCTTCTTTTGACAGAGTAACATCTTTGTGATTCACTTTCCAACTGCTTTGTAATTTTGATATTTCAATGCGAAGAGAAGTATTTTCTTCTTTAGCTTGATGTAATTCTTCTTCCAACGCTAATTGTGACTGCTTTAATGCCGAATCCCTCTCCATCAATACCTGCATAAATAGTAACAAAATATATGATTATAATTATAAACAATAAGTCATACTTATTGAAAGAGAAAGCTATTGCTGATATTAATGGCCTCCCACAATATTAAGGTAACTATTACATGTAATACTAAAGTCCATTTGCATTCACCTGAGTTCAGGAAGTGATTAGAAACCCCACCCAATAATTAACACAATCCAATAATATTGTGAAAAGTATGGCTGTACTTTCTGCATGGGTTATACAACCAACTTGGAATTAAAGAGCTACAGCTGCTTCTTAAGTAGTACAATAGATGCGGCAAAAGGAGAGGAATGCACTGGTATGTTTATTTTTACAATAGAACTTGTAAGTCAAAAGTTATTGCAAGAAAACAAGGGCTCAGGTGAACACAAATGGACTTTAGGTACACTTTCTTCATGGGCTTCTGATATTATACAATAACGCTTCATTCAATTTAAAGTACCTTATTTGCTTTCCTCATGCCTTCGATCTCCTTTTCTTGCTTTGCATGTTCCTGATCTAATTGCTGTCTCATTCTAGCGACCTACATGTATACAAATTCTGATCATCAATTCTCAATGATACAATAGCAATACCTCAGCTTTGTGCTTTTCTTGACTCTGAGTCACTAATCCTTTTTGTCTATCGATCTCACGATTGTAAGCATTGACTTGCGTTGTTAATGTTTGCATCTCTTTCTTTATTTCCTTAATCTTGTCTGCCTTTTCTTGTTCTAATTCTATAATTCTCTAACAAAAAATTAAGGCAGCTAAGTTAAAAGGCATAACAGGAAACATTAACTTAACACATTTAATGGCCTAGTAAATATACAGGAGATTGCATTATCTTTGGAACAAGTGTAAAATTGTAAATCTGCCTTACCTTCCTTATAAGGGAGTTACAGCTACTTAGTTTTTATCCTCAATAATAAATCACCCACTTAACAAAATAAACCAACTAAAACTCTTATTGCAATTATACAATCTCCTGTAAGCTTGTATGGTATATGCACCTCTTTTGCTTTTCTTAATTCTTGATTTAATTCCTCACACTGTTGATGTAACCTCAGTCGATCATTTCTTTCGGCTTCAAAGTCAAGCTTGTAAATTGCACACTAAATAAATCAATAAAAAATTGGCATTTAAAAATTGTATAATAATTATTATACCTGTTGTTCTTTCAATTGCAATTTTTCAAATAGTTCAATCATAGCAGTCTTTGTTTTTCCTTCTGGTCGTAAAGGTTCAATCATAGTAACCTCTGTTCCTCTTTCTGGTTGTAAAGGTGCACTCAAACTCTCTTCTGAATCAGTATCTTTATATTTTTCTTCAAACCCACCACCACCACCACCACCACCACCACCATCTTGAACTCCATCATCAATCTTCTCTAGAGACATCCCATTAGGTGGGTGAATGCTTCGCTCATATGCCTCTTTATGAAGTGGTGGGTCTTCTCCAAAGGCAGGTGCAACTTCACTGACTACTGGTATATTAATTTGATGACGATTGGCTTGAAGGAGAGCACGCAATGAAGCCTGACGCATGTGCTCTGTGCATTCAATCCAGAACCAGACAAACCAGTCCTCACGATCAGGCAGCCTCCATGGATTATCAGGATCATAGCCTCCTTTCTTGTATGAGCCAACAGGAATGGCACGTATCTTCTTCACCTCATCATCAGATAATCCATCTACCGTCTTTCTTAGCATTGCATGAATCTTGTTTTGCAAAGTTTCGACTCTGTTAGAAAAGAAATATTCTACCTCCTCGTCTTCTGGGCACAAGCGCAAAACGGCATTTGCAAAGGTAAGGATAAATACCGTGTGCTTCCAAAATTTCTTGCCAAATATTTGAGTGAATATCTTCACAGTGTCGGTGTGAATTCGTTTTGGAAACCTGGTGTCGTCCATCTTGAAACAAAACAAAGCCAAATCGTGAGGAAAGCAATCACTGCGACGGAGCTGCTCAACCATCTTCTCGTCTTCTTCCTCACTACTAAACCCAAACCCTGGCATGTCCCATATTTTGACCGATATCCCATTCTGATCTAAATTATAATACTTGATTTCGGCAGTACCAGCATCGAACTGGTCTCCTTCGTTTGCCACTTCTTTTCCAAGGAGTCTATTGATGAGGGTAGATTTCCCTTGCCCTGCCTCCCCCACCACCACAATCTTTAGCTCTGTTGGTGTGATTATATTAGACGAGACCGTTTGTTGAATGGAGTTAGCCAATCCCATTCTAGTGAGAGGTACAGGCGGGTACAGAGCAAATGATATGTACTTTGAATCTTTAATCAAATTGTTCCAAAAATAGAACAGACATGGGTGTCTAAGTGAAAATTATAATGTCAAGATTTTAACTAATAAATATCTCAAATTATTTACCTAACTGAATAAATACTCCAGCTCAAGTAAAATCGCTAGGGAAGCAGTAGTTTCAGATTAATGATTTTTCAAATTTTCAAAATTCTATGGTCAAAGGGTTAAAATTAAAAGTCAATTAACAAGTACAACACTCAAAGACTCACTTTAAATATCAAAATATTAACTTACTACATTTACATTTATTACAAGGTGGATCCTTTTCCTTCTGTAATTTGCTGTAACTCAACAAATGCCAAGTTCTTAGTTCTTATCCATTAGCCCCTCCCATGCCCCACCTTTATTAAGGTTACCACACGTGTTCTCATGCGTGCCATTACCGACTGTTTCAGCAAGTGCACGGAACAAGTATACGGAAACAACGTGCTTCGACTGCTTCCATACTAATTACCAAAATAGACTGGTCACAAACAAAATAGTGTTTGGGGTACTCTAATCGTGAAAGACGCTCCTTTATGGACTCCTGCTGGCGATGAAACTCATTTGGACGCCTTTAGAAAGAAAATAAATGAGAAATATGACCTTCATTTAGGTAATGCTTGATGCATCAAAATAACATGAAATCACAATGCATGTATTATTATTATTATTATCATCATCATTATTAGTGTTAGGTGATTATGCCGAGCTTTGGGACTGGTCTGGGAAAAATTACGCTAATTTCTGGGGAAGAGTTTTTTCACTTTCCTGGAATCAAGCACTCTCAACCTTACGATGAAGTACATATTTTAAATACCACTATTATTATTATTATTATTATTATTATTATTATTATTATTATTATTATTAATTTATTATTATTAATTATTAATTATTAATTATGTAATCATTAGGTAGTTGATATTAGTAAAGGAATAGCAGATGTCCCTGAATGGTTTTGTGGCTGCCACCTCAATTATGCTGAAAACTTGCCGAACATCAAAAGGACAAAACAGCGTTAATATCACTAGGTATTTTTATAAGAATAGATATTATTATCTTTATTATTATTATTATTATCATTATCATCATCATTATTATTATTATTGTTATCCTCTCCTTTCCTCTCTCTCTTCTACTTTTCTTTATATATTCTACTGTTCCCTCCCTCTCTCCTTCTCTCTACAGGCTATCTTCCTAACAGTTCTACTGCACTTGAAGCAATGCTCACTACTGCTGCCAGTATTGGAGCAATACGGAGTTCAACATCACCTGATTTTCACTCAACTGTAAGCATGCAATGAAAAAAACAATATTAATATCACTTTCATCAACGTAATCATAATTATCTTGTTATTGTTATTATTGTTGCTGTTTTATGCTTATCTTTTTCCTTAGGGAGTTCTTGATAGATTCAAGCAGATCAAGCCCAAGGTAATATTTTCAGTCGAAGCCGTATGATACAATAGGAAAGAACACAATCAAATTTGAACAAGTTGAAAACTGTTGTGGACGGACTGCCTGATCTTGAGAAGGTCGTTATACATCCATTTTGTTCATCTACTGTTGATATATCTCAACTGAAGAGCAGGTTTGGATATTAATAGGATATTGCAGGATATGTATAGTATATTTTTGTTTATTATTAGTATTTTTTGGAAGATTTTCTTTCTGATAATACTGATTTAACATACGAGCAGCTGCCGTTCAACCACCCATGTTCATAATGTACTCCTCTGGCACTACAGGGTCACTTAAATGTATGGTACACTCAGCAGGAGTGAGTTTATGATATAACTTTACACATGTAATTGCACTGTATTGTTTTTGTCTGATGCATATACATGTACTTATATTGCGTAGAAAGTTTGAGCTGATTCCGATCAAATTTGGATTTTTTATGAATTTTTAAAGTTGCTCCAAAATTGAGTAAAAGTCCCTGTACTATAGTACATGGTCGTTGGCCAATTTTTGCCAAAAATGAAAATTTGAGAATTCTGCATTTTTGTAATGTTTTCTAATGCATATACATGTACTTATGTTGCGTAGAAAGTTTGAGTTGATTCTGATCAAATTTGGATTTTTTACGAATTTTTTAAAGCTACTCCAAAATTGAGTGAAAAATCCCTGTACTATAGTACATGGTTCATGGTCTTTATTATTTTGGTACATGTTACATGTACTGTATCTTTGGCTAGTTTTCATTAAAAATGGATGACTAATGACTATCAATGACTCCATGTATCATAGTTGCCAACCGTCCCGGAATGTCCGGGACAGTCCCGGATTTATTGCTGTTGTCCCGGAGGGGTCCCAGATTGCTCTCTGTCCCGGATCAGCCATTTTTACAGTCACACCCATGCAAAATTTGACCACTCCCAGTAATAAAAATTCAATTAATATCAATTATAATCATAGCTGCATGAACAGTGAGCTCAAAAGTTAAAATTAAGTTCAAAAATGAACTCAAATTGCTGCTCAGGAACTGCTGCAGGAATGTAAGAAGTAATGATCATCAATCCCAGTGGGTGTGGCTCCTTGGGTGTGGCTTCCTGTCCCGGAATTCAGTGACAGAAAGTTGGCAACTATGATATATTGTTATTCAGGGTACGTTAATACAGCACATGAAGGAGCACATTCTCCATGGTAACATGACTCATAATGACATCGTGCATCTTTTATTACACCACGGTAAATTATTAATTAATTAATTAATAGTTATTTAATTTTAATTAATAGACTGGTTGGATGATGTGAAACTGGCTAGTGTCTTCATTATTGATTGGAGTCACTGCAATGTGGATCTATTAGGGTATGGTTTACCGAGTTTTACTATGATATACTGAGTTTTACTAAAATATACTAGGTTTAACTAAGATATACTTGGTTGAATTCTGTTGCTTTTATTTTAAATACTGTTAAACTAATTTTTGCCATTTTATATACTACCGTTTACTGAGATATACTGAGTTTTACTATTTATAATATTACAACACTTAGGACAGGTGCTAGGTGGCTCGCTGCACTAAAAGAGAGAAATATTGTTCCAAGTAAGACTCTTACGCCCACTTATATTAATTAATAATTATTAATTAACACAAGTTACTCTTCTCTACTATCAACAGGTTCTCCATTGAGTTCTGCTAGTTATGATTATTTGCATAATTGTATCAAGAGGAACGTTTTACTGGGATCCATTACAGGTTTGATTTATTGATTCCTAATTTTAATGGCTGCCTGAAATAAAATTCAGACATTTTTGTATAATGTTGTCTAGCTAATGTACACGTACATGTAGTTTATGATAACTGTGTGTTGTGGCTACCATGGCAACTGGCCCCACCCTTTTGTGGTTGATAGTTTAAATAGTTTTTAAAAAAGATTTTTATAAGGAAAATAGTCAAAGTAAAAACAACCTAATCAGTAAATAAGTAATTTGCCATTAATCTCATTATCAATAGCATATAACAGTCCATCTTTATACGTTAAACCCTGTGGATTATTTAAGTCATCTTTAAACCTGCTGACAAGTACACCATTACTAGTGAAGACTGATATACTAGTAGTTTCGGTACTAAAATTAATAAGATTAACATACAATAGACCACTAACTGCTGCGTCTATTGTTATACTTATTGGTAATCCAAATCCAGTAGCAAACTGGCCCAAATACTTTCCATCTGGAGAGAACTTCTGAATGCGAATATTATTAATATCAGCAACATACACTAATCCTTGACTGTCAATAGCAATGTCATATGGATACTGAAACTGTCCATTAGCTGATCCTTTACTACCAAATGAATGAGAGAAGGTTAGATCAGGATTCAAGACTTGTATACGATGATTTTTACTATCAGCAATATAAACCTGTCCTTTTATACAAGAAATATTAGCAGGTTCATCGAATTGTAGTGGTCCACTGCCCTTCTCACCAACTGATGCTATAACGTCTCCATCCATGCTTATCTTCTGGATCCTGTGATCATCAGATACAAGAATGACTTTGTCTGGAGTAATGGCTACACCACGAGGAGAAGAAAACTTGACATTACCACTTCCTCCTTCCCCTCCTAATGCTTTCCCTTTCTTTCCTTCTCTATCCAGTATTGTTACACAGTTGCCCTTATTCTCAGTTATTATAACATGATTATCATCACTTATAGCAACTCCCCAGGGACGCTTAAGCTCAGTTGTAGTATGCACTGGAGTGATGTTATCAAGGCAAAGGATGACTAGTGAGGCATCCTCAAGGTGTACATCATATACTTGTACTTTTACTGTATGAGTACCACTTGTTGAAGGGTTACACTGTATCCTATACACTCCAGGATCAGTGCTGGTGGTAGTGACTGTAGTGCGAATGGGTTTATGGCCTTTACCAACTGGTACTAGACTACACCTCAGAGAAGAGAGGGGAACACACAAAAGAGATGAATCTGGTGCCTCCATTGATAGTGAAAATGAAAATTGCTTCTCTTTTTGAAGGTGTTCAGAATAACTAACCTTCACTTTACATTGAGGTAGTACAATCACATCTCCAATGTGATGTAGTGATTTGGCATCTTTACTCAGTACAAAGTCAGCTTCTTCCTTTGGATGTAACTCCTCCACATTGATCCCTGCAGTAACTTCACTCATACGTTCCATCATCTGTTTCTTAGACCTCAAGACTTGTTGAGGACTGCCTGTCTTCAGACTCTGTTCCACATAATCCTGGACATCTTCCAGAAGACTCAAACTCATTTCTGCTGATTTCATTTGCTCTGACAGCACCTTTAGTTTATCATCAGTGACCCTCTTTGCCTGCTCAGTCAGTTTCCTCTCTGACTGACGAAGAACAGCAATCATTTCCTCCACCATTTCATTTATCCCTTTTAATATTTCCTCTCCTCTTTCTCTGACCTCTCCCTCTGTTTCTGTTAGAGCAGATTTGACTTCCTTTAGTTCTTCCATTTTTTCTTTAACCGGTTCTAAGCAGGTCTCCAATTCCTGACAGTGTTTAGTATAACTGTCATTGACTAGATCATACTCATGGTCTTTATGGATGCGAACTGTGCAATGCTGACAAATGACAGTATCACATGTTTCACAGAATATCTCCAGTGGCTTGTGGTGAGAGGAGCAGGTAAGGGTTGCCTCCTGTTTAGCTGGAGCTAGCAATTGAGGATTAGAAGAGACAGAGGCCGTCACCTCATCAAGACTTGTCAGCTTATGGGTAGAAGTTGGGCCCCATTTCTTGTGTACTCCGTCGCATTCTGTACAAAAGAACTTACTGCAGTCTTTGCAGTATCCAGTGGCATTAGCTGTAGTACAGTTGTCACAGGGGACCTGTTGAGGATTAACTACTTTCTTCATGAAACTATGCACCTCTTTAAAGTTGTTGAGGTGGAATGCTGTAGGAAAACCACTTGCCCCCTCTCCTGGTAACTCTGTACGATGACGACAAGTGGGACAAGAGAGGTAATAGGTCTCATTCTTCTTATCTTGAGGTAACCTATCAAGACAACCCTGACAGAATGAATGTAGGCAAGGTAAGGACTTAGGATTAGTGTAGATATCAAGACATATGGAGCAAGTGAGCTGTTCCTCCAGTTTGAGGAGACCAGTAGAAGTAGAAGATGAAGATGGTTTGGCTGCCATGAATACTAGCTAAAAGAGAGTTGAGATGAACAGAATACGAGAACGAAGCGAAAGGAGTAGAAGTCTAGGAAATAAAATAAAAGAGATGAGGTTGACCTTTTGGCTTTTGTCTTGTGACTAAAGGAAATTATGATAGTTTATAATAATACTACCAGTTGTGGTTGCATCACCTGCAATCACAACCAGTAGTAAAGTATTAAAAATCTATTGACTCTTTTGTCCTTAAAATAAAATTAATTCTATATTTGCAT